TACCGCACGAAAGAAAATAACTTGAATTTTTAATTAAAGAACAAACCATTCAAGCGGTTTAAGAACATTTTGGTAATACAAAATATTTTTAAAATTTTCAAAAATTTTTTGCTCCACTAGAATGTTTACTTTTTGGCAGCATTATATAAAAATTGCTCTAAAGAACCTATGTCCTGAAAATGAAAGTTATATATGAAAGCTAAAAAATGCGTAGAGTGCTCGATTAAAGGCTCAAAATTGACCTCGAAAAATTCCAATATATCTCGTTGTAATCTGTCATTAAACTTGGGATTTCGTTTGCAACGCCGCATTTTTAATTCTTCTTGTGCAATAAGCGTTTTTGCGAAGCTCTAAAAGTTAAAACTACAACATTCGGCCAAGGCATACATATCGTCGTCTCAGAAAACGGATGTCGAATGTTACAAAATACGGTTTTGAGAAAATTGACTTTGAAGTTTAAGGTCGAATTAATCCGAAACTGTACGGTAGATTTTTGTAACTTTTGAAGGAGACGTAGTTGGTGTTATTAGTTTTGATTTCCCATATTTTTACATTTAATATCTCTTAACGTTAATGAGAAAATTTACTTGTCATTTCGTATACATTTGTCGTAAGTAGCGTTTACTCACCACTTTGTTTTGTCCACAGAACATACGACAATAGTAAAGTATCTATTTCAACGACGATGGTATAATTTGATGAAAAAAACAGACATATTTATTAAATAATGATTACTTATTAGAAAAAACATAACAAAAACATAATCATGTATTTAATAAAAAAAATCTGTACATCTCTTATGCTGTAAATATGTTACGAACATACGTTTTCTTTATATAAAAACAAAAAACAATACTTAAATTCAGTCTTTTGTACATTTTTATCTCTTTCATTTCATTGGAGACTCAGTGCAAGCTAAAATTTAAAAATTTAAAATTTTAAAATTAGTTAGTTTAATTTTCAATTTTAATTGTATCGTTATAGTAGAGGACCATCCAATTGTCGTAAGTTCAAAGCTTTGCGATACATACGACAAATGTTTTATGATTAAAAAAAAGATTACATTTGTATGGGAATTTGTCGTATGTGCCACATACGACAAACGTTTTATGATTAAAAAAAAGGTACGTTTGTATGGGAATTTGTCGTATGTGCCGCATTTTCAGCACATACAACAAAAGGCATACCCAATCATTAATATTATGTAACATACGACAAAATGCGCACGAAATATCTCAAAAACTAATGGAGATATAAAAAAAAATGGATTGCAGAAATCGAAAGAGCATGTCCAACTTAGTAAATCTGCATCAAAATCCCAAAATCGTGATTTTGCACATTCGTCATCCGTTTTCTGAGGCGTCGATATTCCACCTCAAAACAAATCCAATTCTGCAACTCCACATTCCACGACACTCGCTGAAGCTTTCGACAGTCTTAAAATATTACATTTGATACACTTAAAAAAAAACAAACGGATCGCTTCCCTGCAGTACTGGGGAGCAACTACAGGACTGATAAATCGGTAGCTACCGCCAATTACCGACCGACTACTTGCAGTGTATTTCAGCGATGACTTTTACAAGGCAATGCCCTAGTCAGTAGTCACCATCTGCTCTATCTGCATTACCGGGAGTTACTAAAGTAGTCACTTGCGTGATTTATGGGCGCCATCTGTCGTAGTTTTTCGCTATTCTGCTTCCTACTGGTTCGACTCTGCACTACCACGGGTTAACAGACTACCTACTTACCTAGGAGTCGGCGCAGTAGTTATTCAAAAGTAGCGATTGACTCCAGTAGATGCGACAAATTCGCCTACGTATGAATGCGCATTTCCAACGGCATTGTCGGCGACAACGACAAAGCGACAGTGCCAAAATTGAACTTTTATATTTAGGGGATTCACAAGACGTGTTAAACGTCGTAAAATCTTAAGCTTAACACTTGTTTATGTAAAATAGCGGTTAAAATGGTTGGGGGGTTGGCTAATTATATATTCTTTATCAGTTTAAAAGAATTTCGGTTTAGTTAGAAATCCCCTAAAACCATTTTAATTAAAAAAGATGTTAACCTTAAGATTTTACGACGGTTAACACGTCTTGTGAATCCCCTAATTATCAGAATTTCATTGAGAAATAAATGCTTTGCATTTTATGGCATCCAAGGTAAGTATGTAGGGCGAAGGATTAGTACCTTAGGCGCAGTTAAGGGAAAGTAATTATTTATGTAATTCAAGATTGGAGTGGTTTCAGTTAACCGCATACAAGCTTACGATGAAATCTCAACGATAACGCAGCGAATACAGCTTTGAACGAGTTACATGAATTGTATTTCACTGTCCGCACAAGTTAATCTTCTTCCATAGTTGCTCCGCTTCGCCATCCTTGTAATTGCGTCGTACTTCTGGGTATTTTTGTGATTTAATTGTCAGCACCAATTCAAAATAATGGGTTAATACATAAATTTTATGTCAGTTCCAAAACTCTGCTACAACTACAATGGCAGCTAGGGGATTGGACGGAGTGGACTTTTTACCAATAGAATGCGAGTAAGTACACAAATACCCCGTAAAACTACGCTGATTTCAATTTAGCATCATTAGGGAGTTCAACAGACTCCGGAAAGATATAAAACAAATGGACTAAGCTCTGAGTTATATGTATTGTAAATTCATCAAAACCAGGGCTGCATAACTATATAAACAAAAAAATTTCGTTTCGTTATTTATTAAAAAAACAACTTATCAAAAAATTTCATTTGCTTATTATGAATAAACAAAATATGAAAATAAAAATAGTTTCGTTAGTTATCAAAAAATGTTAACGAAAAAAATTTCGTTTCGTTGGTTATCAAAAAGGAAATATCAATAGTTTTTTTGTTTCATTATTTAAGAAGAAAATTGTAAGCAAAATTTATGTAGGAGTACGTAGCATTATGGGATTTCTTTTTATTAAATAATTAACAAATAGTAAACAAAACGCTGTTAAGAAAGTATGCGAAAACTAATTGAGCCGTAACATTAATATCGCTTCAGTGATATCATCAGCCTGACCTATAGTCATTAACTATATATTTTAAAGTGGAGAACGCCCGCTCTACACTAACTTGCGTAGCGGGAGTTGCATGAATAATTTTGTATAGCTGGTACAAGGTACTGTGAGTAAATTTTTTTGACTCCCAATAGTCTGCTAAATTGGCCTTCAAATCGCAATTTTCATTGAATGCTTCTATGATTGAAAATGCCTCTGTGGTATTTTCGCTTCTTGGTTCGTATTGGGAGATTTGGTTTAGTAGTGTGCCAAGCAAATTGTCACTGTCTTCATGTACTTCACTACTTGAATTGAATTGGTATGCGCGGCACATCGTATAACTACAATTGACTCTAAAAATAAAATTATGTAATGTACACAATACTATTATTAATATAGCT